CAGTCCAAACACTGAGCCTGCCCAGTGTCTTATCTTCAGTAGCAATACAATGTCAGCATCTGTAGAAACATACTGACTTTAAAACATCTGTACTAATTGGTCTTTCCCTTAATGCATCTTTCACTTCTGGTGAACTGAGGTTACCTTTACCAAAATCTTTATGAAGACCATCAGTTTTATCAGTCACTGACAGATCCGTGCTCCTTGAGCTTAATCCGTCTTTTTTTCATTCATCTCTCTCCACACCACCAGGTGATGTACTGGATTCCACAGCTTTGTTGTGTGGCAGGAGTCGTATTTGTCCTTGAACTTGGTGTCTGACTCCATGGGCTGTAGGCTGTTGCCTTCGGTTCAGAGAAGGTGAAGTACTGCATTATAGAAAAGACCAAAATAGTTTTGTCTGACCAACACCAGAAGTTTGGCACCATGTTGCTCTCCCGGTGTCACTGGTGATGCCTTTTCTCGCTGCAGTAGCTTGCTCTTGTCAAACGCTGAGTCGATTCAGTGTGCGAATCTATCCCTCGCACCACTGCGGGTTGCAGGACTGACTTCTGCTTGGGGTTTCAAAGCAGCCTACATCCCAGATTTCATGAGAATAGAAATATTTTTCTACCTTGCATCACTGTGGTACTATTAGATAGAGGAAAACTATTTTATCTTCAATGAATAAGTAAGAAAGAAGCTATTTTACCTGTCCTAGAAATGGTTCATTTCTGCAGGGGCAAAGGCTGCTTTAGGTTCTTTTTCAGCAAAGGCACTTTGCCAGCTGGTAAATTATAATACAAAAAAATTGAGAAGTCCTCTGCCCACTTTTCTGATCTAGCCAAGTTTAGTGTAGAAGTTACTTCCCTATCATTCTTCTGATCTGAAGAACGTGTCATGTATGAAGTGACTGAAACTTGTATTATCTGGTCGGGCTATGCTTTTTGCCTTGTCATCTTTTAATTTTGCATCACATGAGGACTCTTTAACTTAATCAGATACAACAGAGATGATAAGCACTTCACAAGGTCTTGTTATTGCTACCTGTGCCAAAATCATGTGAAGAAGATTGAGACAAATGTCTCATGCTTGGGAAGAAATGTACCAAATGTAAATCATAGTTCTTCTCTATCTGTGAGTGTAATAAGTTACTAACAAATGGTGTGTCTATGATTTTACATAGTTTTCTTAAAAGGTGGGAGAGGATTGTCCAATGCTGGTGATCTGTTTAACACAGAAAAGCAGTTTATTATTTAAAAGTAAATGAACTAATTGATATGAACGTAATTCGGCAATGTTTTCAATTCTTAAAATTTTTGTTTCCAATTTGCTGCCTCATTCAGGAGGCTCCCTTCTGTTTGTTTCTTAAACTAAAGTTGACTTCTCAGGCTCAAGTTTTATTTGGGTGAGAGCAACTTTTCTGTGGGTATAGATATTTATGTATTCATATACAGGAATCGTTTACCCCTGGGCTTTTTAACATGTAAAAATTGTAGTTGCACAAACCATCTTTTCTGCTAAAGAAAGTGTATGGAAAACTGGAACAATGAATAAATGGTCTGCTTCTCCTTTAAGGTTTGTGATTTCAATGCTTCATCACACTGAAATTTTTATTTCCCCCAACAAGTATAGTCTAGATTGAGCAGCTTTATGCCAGTGTGTACAACAACCAAAACCCTCATTACCAGCACGAGAGCAATAACTTTGAAGACATGTTAGTTTTAAGGCCATATGAGCCACAGGGACCTTTTCCACTTACTCTTTTTTCCCGTTTGTTAGTGAGCTAGTTTAAGATATTCTTCCATCTTTTCTCAGATGCTAAAAATAGAGGTAAATTCAATTGTCCCTTCACTGAAGCTATGCTATGAGGCTTTTTTTAATTTGAATTTGCCCCGCCATAGATGACAAGTGCCTTTTTTTCTCTTAAGAATATGGATTGTGCATATTGCTCTGTGAAGTACTTTTGTGTTTTTTGCTGTTTTGTTTTTTTTTTACTCCACGGGCTATTGCATCTCATTGAACTTGTGTGTACCAAGATGCCCATCTTGGTTTGACGCACATCTAGAAGTGGTTTAAGTGATGCCAATTGCCAAAACTCACTTTCTCACTCTGTTTTTTAAGAGACTTTTAAGACTTGGCTATGCTTCCCAACTTGCATAGTTCAGAGGTTGTTTTCTGAAGGAAATAAAAATAATCTTGACAATCAACGCTGTGTAGATACTGCAGATTTGTGCTTCTTGCTGCTAATAATAGCCCTTTGATACTTCCTCGGTTTCCTGTCTGCCTTACTCACTAACAGCTACTAATGACCTTTGATAGCAAAGAATAAGGGAGGGAAGCAAATGGCTCCCTTAATGAGTAGCATCCTTGATGAATTACTTCTCTCCTCATTTGCTGTGCAAGCAACCTGAATGACAATTTTTTTACTAGCTTCAGAAAACTGGACTAAATAAATATCGCACGCACACCCCCAACACACATGCTCTGGACGTGTGTTTCAGTGGCTTGGAGACATCATTGTGCCTGCAAGCATCGACCTGCTGCCCCTGGAGCCCGTGACACGGGGCTGGGCTGTCTCTTGTCGCTCTCCTGAAACTGCCCCACTGCAACAGGGACCAAACACAAACCTGAGACTCTTGAAGCACATTTGAGTCAGAAATATATGTCATGTACAGACTTTTAATCTTTTATAATCCAACCACCCTATTGCTAATGCTGGATATTTTCTATTTAGTTTGATTCCGTTCATCTGCATTTATGTTTCCCCACAAATTCTAGCCTAATCCAGAAGTTAATTTTCTTTCTGTGCCTGCTTAATCAGGCCTGTTGCAGAATTTTTCTTTATGCCTTTGAAGGTTGATTTCTTTGGTCTGTCATCTACACTGGGTGTGTTCTTCATCTTTTCCTGGTTTGATCTTTCTGCTATTGGCTTTCCTCAAGTCCAGAGTAGGTTGCTCAAAAGCCCAATCCAAATACAGTTTCAAAAAGGGCTAGCCGTGCTAAAGCAAGATTGTACTGCTGTTTGAAATCACATTTATCATATATATCAAACACTATAGTGGCCTACAGCCTAGGCAGAAGGATGCTTGAATCACTGTTGGCACAGTCTTGGTCTGTGGGACAGTATCAGTAAAGTTAGTTCTAGACTGCCTAGTACCCAAGGCAGGGGTTGAGTAGCAAACAAGAGTGCTGCTGTCACTTTTTCCTGAAATCAGCCTAAGCCTGGCCTCAAACACATGCTTCTGTTATTATTTAGCTAATTCTTCTGGGCCCGTTTGTCCAACAAGCTCTGCATAAGTGAATCTTGTAATTCCTGGTGCAAGTAAATGCTAACTGACAATCGTTAAGAGGGGGACTCTGCTCTCGTGAGACCCCGCCTGGAATACTGTGTTCAGCTCTGGAGTCCCCAACGCAAGAAGGACATGGAGCTGCTGGAGCGGGTCCAGAGGAGGGCCACGAAGATGATCCGAGGGCTGGAGCCCCTCTGCTATGAAGACAGGCTGAGAGAGTTGGGGCTGTTCAGCCTGGAGAAGAGAAGGCTCCGGGGGGATCTTATAGCAGCTTTCCAGTACCTAAAGGGGGCCTACAGGAAAGCTGGAGAGGGACTTTTTACAAGGGCATGTAGTGATAGGACAAGGGGCAATGGATTTAAACTGAAAGAGGGGAGATTTAGATTAGATCTAAGGAAGAAATTTTTCACTCAGAGGGTGGTGAGGCAGTGGAACAAGTTGCCCAGAGAAGTTGTAGATGCCCCATCCCTGGAAGTGTTCAAGGCCAGGTTGGATGAGGCTTTGGGCAACCTGGTGTAGTGGAGGATTTCCCTGCCCATGGCAGAGGGATTGGAACTAGATGATCTTTGAGGTCCCTTCCAACCCTAACCATTCTATGATTCTATAACAAGAAATTATACTCTAGAACCACAGAAATAATATTTCTGATGTGTCTTAGGTTGAGGATCTTGCATGTAATTAGTACCAAAAAGCTGGACTTCACAGACTTATACTGATCTTACCCCTTGAGGATCCCACACAGAACACACAAGGCTGAGCTGCCTTACGGTGAGCAGCCGGACCATTACGGGCACGGGGAGAAATCAGGTAGTGGTGGTGCAGATGCCTCTGCCTAATTACTCTCCCTCTCCTGCTTGAAGTGCTTGAATGGGAGCGCACTCGTGCTTTCCATAACACCAAAATAGGGATTTTTCCAAGATGATGGAGACAGAGCTTACAGAGGCTGCAATAAAGGCTCAGGCTCTTGGATCTGCTCAGATGTGGCTCCACATGCTGGAAACACGTTTGTAGCCCCAAGTGCTGGAGCCCAAAAAGCAAAGCTGCTTCCAGCCAGATTCTTGTCTGTATAAACATGCACGATGCGAGTGGGAGTAAAAGCAAAAGGTCAGCTGCAATTGACTCTGACCCTCAATTCCCTTCTCAGTCAGTGGAGCTGCATCCATCCTGGTTTTCACTTTATAAATAACCCCATCATGAATGATATTTACTCCGAGTGCTGCAGTGCTTGGAGGCCTGACTCTCACTGGTCCCCTCAGCAGGCTGGGCTCTCCAGGAACACCAAAAAATTGTACTTCTGATACAGAGCACAAAGTCTGGTTGCACCACAGTGCAGGTGAGAGAAGGGGCTCCTGTCAATATGCTTAATTTGTGTGTTGGTTTAACTAAGTCCTCGCTGTGCCCACGGCCGCTTGTTCTCCTCTCCGGTGAGCAGGCTCAGTAGCGCTCCGTGGAGCAGGGATGAGATCCGGCTGAGGAGAACCGTGAGGGCTGTTCCAGGTGAACGGCCCTCTTGTGGTTTTCTCAGAAGCATCGTATGCGTCATTCGCCCAATTCTGTGGCCAGTCTACCAGCACATAAGTGGACCCATCCGTGCTGTGGTTGGTATAAAAGGCAGGTGGAGGTTACGAGGGGTGTGCAGGGCTGCCTTGCCGGCAGAAGGGGATGGAACTCTCCCATCGCAAGATGGGCTCCCTCCCATTTTGCACCCTTCTTTGCTGCTTTGTTAGCATGGCAGCAGCCAATATATTTGGTAAGTACCCTTGTTCTTTTCTCCTGCCTGTGTCCAGTAGCGACTCTGCTCCTGTGATCTTTGTGCTGCTCTGTGTATTATTCCAACGATGTGTATAATGATCTTGAATTTGGCACGTGGCAAACTTAGCAGGTTATTGTGTGCTCTGCGGAGCGAGTTTGGGCTCCAGGTTAAATACTAAGCTATAAAAATCTTTAAAGGGTCAGAGTTATCTGAGTTCAGTACACTTGGGTTTTGGGTGGAAAAAGCTCGTTTTCTGGAAGAGCAAGCTGGACTAGAGAAGGGCTTGGCTGAGAAGAGATGCTGCAGGGACGTGAAAGTCCTAAGATTATATGTTCTACTTGCATGTGCCATCATCTAACTTAGGCTTGAACTATAACTTATGATAGCGGATAGTCTGTGTGCCATCCCCAGTTCTTTGGTCTGAGTTTGAAAGACCTGCACAACAAACAATTTGAATCACTGAATGATCAGTAGTTAATCACTTGCCCTAGTAAAAATTGAGAAGCGTTCCTAATATGAATTAGTCTGATGCCAACTGCTAGGCATTGATTCTTTTTAGGTGTTTCATGAGACTAAGAAGAAATACCTGTCCTTTTGGAAGAATAATGAGTGACTTAGCTTCAATAAAGAGTAAAAACTCATAAAACATTAATAGGATGTGTGTGGTTATGGCAAAGGGCTGTTTTGTGGTGATAGCCATGACTAACTATGAGTACGTAGACTACCTCAGGTACCAGCAAATGAAAGCTGTACTAGTACAGAACAGAGCTGAAGCTAATTAAACACCGGCCTGGGAAAGGGGTTCATGAGCATCTCCGTCATGTGCTTATCCTTCAGCTGGCAGCCCAGCAAGTTTGTTCAGTACTTCCCTGTGCTGTCCCATGCAGAAATGCATCCAATGGGCAATGGCGACCCGTGAACGTAGGGCTTTCACCATGCTGCATTAGCACTAACAGGGTTTTGATAAGAACGGGCTTGTGGTGGAACCGCCCTTACATGTTTACCTTTTTGCTGCTTTCAGAGTACCAAACAGATTCCCAACCATTACGTCCATGTGAACTTCAGAGGGAAAAGGCTTTTTCAGGAGGAGAAACCTACGTTCCTCAGTGCTCAGAAGATGGCCAGTTCAGGTAACTCATCCCTGCTATTATTCTGCTGTTACGTGACGTGATCTTTCACTACTAATGAAAGCTTTAGCTTCAGTTTTGAAGAGCCGCCATATTGGTGGGCTAGATGGTGAGGGATGTACGGGACCGAAGGGACTTCATTGAGCCATGTTGCAGATCCAGCCTCTCCTGAATGAATTCCATGTTGTTGGAAATAATCTCTGGGTTAACAGGTCAATCTGATATTAATAGGCTAACCTTGGCAGCAGCATTTGCATGTTAAATACTTGGTGCAGGTTATTGTGTAATGCAGCTGCTGTCTTCCTACGCATGATCATGGGAGTATGATCTGTGACCAGTGTGCCAGCTGGCACAGCTCGGCCAAGTTGTCTTGGAGAAGTTATCCACCCTATTGTAAGTGGCACAGTTGGGTTTCCTTCTAAAGGCAATAAAGGAACTAAAGCACATGGAGAAGGATGATTTAGAGAGCAGCGTGTTGCTTGAAGATGCAAAAGTTAATGAGTTAAGCTGAGACCGAAGGGGAGTGCAAATTGTAATATTCGACTATAATCTTACTGTTGTTGCTTAGAGTGGGGGACCTAGACCATGCTAGATTTGTCTTAAAAAATGTCTCAAAATGTGTGGTAATTCTCAAATACTGAGAATCAGGATTCTGTCCAACCTGCTTTCTTCCTGAACTACTTCAAGTCACTTATTTGGAATTCCTGAAAACTTCAGAGAGTCACTAGAATTAAGAGCTCCCATCAGGTGCGCTCAGAGTCACTAGAGTCACACAGGCCTTTCTGATTCCATTATTTGCAGTACTAAAATACTTGAAGTCATTTGGCTTGCTTTATGTCTTGGTTTATGTCCCATACTGACTGAGGACTCTGTCACTAACAAAATAAAACATGTTACTTGTGATCTCCTCCAGGACAGTTCAGTGCAGTAGGAATGGTCTTTCTTGTTGGTGTGTGGATGAGAATGGCATTGAGGTACCTGGCAGCAAACAGAACGGATATCCCGTATCTTGTAAGTTTCTATTTTTGTTCAGATTGCGTAAAGAGCCATTTAAATCTGCATTTGAACTGCTGAGATAAGAATAGCTTAGCCTCAGACTTTGATGGAATCTAGTTGGTTTTAATTTGCTGAGTCTTTCTAGTGGAAGTTCTGTAGTTTCTTCAGAGCTGATCACGGAAACCCAATACACCTGGATGATCTATATTCATGAAGGTCACAGTAATGTAGATCATGAATGAAAGGTCAACTTAATTTATTGGCTTTTGAGTTGGAGGGCTTCAACCCCATCTATGGTGGGTTTCTGTATACCAGTTTTCATGACCACAAGTCCATCAATGTTCTCATGCCGCCTGGGTGGCAGAATCAGAACTTGCAGCTCTGAGAAAACTCAGATGTTGCCTTAATAAATGATTCAATGCCCAATAAGTACCTTCCTCTAACCGTACTCCTCTCTGGTACCACAGGCTTATCCTTTTGCCAGCTACAAAAGCAGAGGATCTTGGTCAGTCGCTACATCAACAGCAGCAGCATCTCCTACATCCCTCAGTGCCTGGATTCAGGGGCATTTGATGTAGTGCAGTGTGACATGGAGCTGGGTCAGTGCTGGTGTGTAGATCCAGAAGGAATGGAGATTTATGGCACCAGGCAGAGAGGAAAGCCAACGCGGTGTAAGTAACATTCAACACGATAATGGGTTTTGTAGAGTGGGAAGGTTTGGTGTGAATGAAAGGTGGTAGAACAGGAGCTTGGACACTGCAACCTACACTTACCAACAGAAATATAGGTGCTTAACTGAGGAATTTAAGTCTCTGTTTCCTTTGGTTGTAAAGAGGTTACAAGACACTTAGGGATCCACATTCAATGTAATGAACCTAACCTCCTTCCAAACCATGGGAAGGCTGCTCAGCTGTTTGTGGGGAGTTAAAACACCAGTAAATGTTCTTTTATTTTCCCCATCAGGTCCGGGGAACTGTGAGATCCGAGACCGTCGCATTCTTCATGGGTTTGGAGAGAAGAGCCCACCACAGTGCTCAGCAGATGGAGAATTTCTGCCTGTCCAGTGCAAGTTTGTCAACACTACAGACATGATGTTTTTTGATCTCGTTCATACTTACAACAGGTAAGAGCGTAGGCTCCTGAAACAGGGAGGCAATCCTGCATACCTCTTTGAGTTAGCATCTTACTGTGGTTTTTTTTCCACATGAAGCTCTCCTTCTAGTGGAAGGTGTCCTTGCCCATGGCAGGAGGGTTGGAACTAGATGATCTTTGAGGTCCCTTCCAACCTTAACCGTTCTATGATCCTATGACCCTATATGATGTTATTTTCTGTTAGTGACTGGGCCAAGTAAAAATATATCTTCTGAATCAAATTTTCTCATTTAGAAAAGCCCGACATTCCATCCCTGCAGTCTAATCAGTGTGTCCTCGCACAGCAGTGGATACCACATTGAGATCTATATTTGGAAAAGTAGCCAGGGCTACCTTTCAGACAGACACACAACAGCAAATGAGATAAACGCACAAGGAACAGAGGAATTCAGATGCATACATGAGGTAGGAAAGATGATTCCATATGGGAGATGAAAACAGATGGACAGTTGGACAAATGGCAGCATGCAAAGAGCCAGTTCCATGTGATGACGGGAAACTCTTGTCCCTTTAGTCAGCGCCAGGGTTGCTCACACAGGTGAACCAGCAAGTGATGAACAGACACGCTAACATACGACTGGCTTTGAGTGGTTGGAGAGGGCTGAGGAAGACTTCAAAATGTTGGATCAATTACCTGTCCGTGGGAAGAGAAAGCTGTTGTACTGTGGAGAAATTAATGCTTAGGTGGAGAAGTAAGGGAAGGGCGAGGGGAACCGCAGGGAGAGGAGTTCCTCTTGGTGCAGATGCTCATACTCTCCCAGGAAACTTTCTGGTCTCTCATGAAGTGCCGTTATGTTGGCGTCTCAGTCAACAAATTTCTCCAGTGGAGGGCAGTGGAGTAAATGTAATGTCTCATTCTGACTTGGCTCTGTAGTAGCAAAGGCATTTTATAGTAAATGTCAGTTTTGCTGGTTTGAGGGTTTTCTTTTTTAATTTAAGCAAAACTGAAAGGCAGGCCCAAATGCACAGTGCAAATTTGTCAGAGCTTCAGGAGACGTTATTTTGGCAAGAGCAAAATAACATGGTTATTTCATTTGGCCTGTGGAGTGTGGAAATTCTAAAAGAACGATTACAGAGGAGAAAGCAATGCTTTACATTAACATTTTTTTCCTCCCATTAGGAGATTTGACCACAAAGACCTGTGAGTTTGGGATTTTCTTGTGTCCATGTCATGTAATTAGTCACACAGGATGATTTCACTCCCAGCTGTCTTTTCTAATTACAGCATTGACTTAACCCATTACCATCATATCTGACTATCTCAGGTCATTGATATATTTATTTTCACATTATTCCTGCCTGAAATGTCATTATCCTGTCCCATAAACAGAAGGCCGAAATATGGAGTTGAAGGGATGAGTTCCACAGCGGAGGACTATAGTAGAACTGGGATTTAAGCCCACATTTTATATTCATGTGGAACCAGTGGTTCCACAGACTGATTTTTGAAATCTAGGCATGTCACACTAATTCCCTTCCCAAATTGT